TTCCACGTTATAACGTTGACTGATTACGTCTAGTAGGCGGTGTTTGACGGAGGTCAGCGGTGATCGGCGACGTTCCACGGTGGTCGGCGGTGGTCAACGGTCGTTGTCGACGGTCAGTGGTGGTCGACGGCGATCGACGAGCTCTATTTATAGTGTTTTGAGTGCAATTAATGCAGGAATATGAACCATTTTGATCGGACGGTCCGGAGAGCTTCCTTTGATCAGATAACATTTGATGGACATTTGAGTGCCTTAATGATGTCGAAATTGAGCAATCTTGGGCTCGTTGGATTCATCTTTTTGAGACGCTCGATTCGACTATAAACTCGCTAGATTTGATATTTTTTTGACCTTTCAAATGCCTCCGGAAATCCTCCAGTAATGGTTTAATAACTTGATCTGGGCTTGATTTGACTCGGATTGGACTAACTTTTATATCATTAGGTCCGTCTCATCGAGCCGATCAGTTTGACTATAAGTTTACTGAAATCGGAGCTCCGGATGGCTCTTAATCGAAATTTGAATTTATCTTGTTCAAAAAATTGCACCGAGATTCGTGTGGGATGATGAAAATTTGTCGTGGCGTGTCAATAAGTATATTGAGATTTACTGTGATGAGACTTTTAATTTGCTTATCCGAACATAAACTTTGTTTATAAATATATTATTTTATAATTAATATATTTTGCATTATAAAAAATTATTTTAATTATAATTAACATAAGTAATAAAACTATTCAACAAAAAAATATTAAATTATTTTATAAATATTATTTCGTCTAAGGGTCAATCGACCCTAGCCTCTTCATCAATGAATAGTTGGAGGAGTTAAAGAAACTTCTTTAGAGCCCAACTAAGTGGCTTACCGACTTGATGATGCAACAATATATCATGTCCTCCTCCTATCTCTCTAACGATAGAACATTTCGACCTTGAATAATAGATTTAAGTGTTTCTAATCACATGACTGGTGATACTCATGCTCTCATCAACTATCAAGTACTCATCAACTTTAAGTTTGTTAGCGTTTTCGATGGATCTCACTCCCGGATTATTGGTAAAGGAGAAGTGAAAGTCTATAAAGTTATTTAGCTCTCTTATGTGATATATGTTTCTCAATTAGATTCCAACTTACTTTCAATTAGCAAGCTTACTCATTACTTTAATTGTATTACTAAATTCTATTATAATTCTTGTGAATTTCAGCTGATGGATTCAGGAAAAGCTACCGACTAACAGTGTTGAATTGCATTAAGATGTATATATGCTCAAGAAAGCTATTCTTTTAAGAAACAAGTGTCTTCTCCACCATCCTCTTCTCATATTCTCAAGTTTATTATATCTGAGTTTGTTGAAAGTCAAGTTTTATTATGGGATTGTCATACCAGTCATCATAATTTTATTGTGTTGCAAAGCTATGCACTCATCTTTTCATTTTAAAAGATCAAAATTTTAAAAGTACGAAACCTGCCAATTAGCTAAACATACTCGCCATGTCCATCATGTGTCTTAGTACAATCCCTCATATCCTTTCTGTATCGTCCATAGTGACATTTGGGGTCCATCAAAATTAGAAATCTTTATTGGATCTAGATGATTTGTCTCATTTATTGATGACCACACTAAAGTAGATATTCTTCATGAAAAAAAAAAATATGAAACTGCATAAATATTTCAGTCCTTCCATAACATGTTTTTCACCTAGTTATAATATAAATTTCAGATTCTCAAAACATATAATGCAAACAAATACTTCAACGTCTCTATCCTTAGACCCTATCTCACAAATTCAGATTTATCACCATTAGATTTTGATCGTGATATTCTTAAAATTTTGGGGCCACTTGCTCAGCATTATCTTCAACTATATAAGTCATGTCCAATAGGATAATTGTGTAGAAAGCCTTTTTGTTAAGGTTTTAGGACTAGTATATATAAGTTTTTAATTTAGATATATGTTGGCTTATGAATGTTCTGATTCATCTTGGTTTTATATAAATTTATATTTGTTTATAAATAATTATTTTGTATATGTTTATATGTATTTTCTTTTTCACATACACTTAAATTAATTGAATTGATGGAAAATTAATTTAGATAACTTAAGGTGTTAGGAACCTTTGGATATGTGCATAATACTTTCATAAAATGAAAAACTATTCCCAAAGGCAATTTAGAATGTCATTATAAAGCATCCTAAAAAGTTAAGTGTATGTTATGTATATATTACACCTAAATGGGGGCATGATTAAATTAATGTCAATGAATGCCAAATTTTTTAAGATTAACTTACCAAGTATTATGGAATTAAAAGGTTATCTTAATTTATACAAGCCAACTAAATTTGAAGAATATTTAGTATTATTTGTTGATGGTATGAATATAAATAGCCATCATTAAAGTGACAAATAATTAAGTGTAACACTTTTTGGTCGGTTTTTTCTATCATTTTAGGATCCAAATAGCCATAATATACTAAAAAGGCAAAGCATTATAAATTTATAATATTGCACCCCTTGTTTAATATTAAAGATGAAACACCTGTGTATGATCCCTTATACATTTATGACTATAATTTAAAATGTATATTTTCCTCTCATGCTTATGAAAATTGTATAGCATGAATAGAATATTACATGAGCTCCATAACAAGAAATTAAGTTGGAGCTTTTACTAATTTTTCTCGAGATGAAATATAGATTAAAATGGATTTTCCTAGAAATTAAGTGTATAATAAATGACATGACCGAAAAAAAAAATACAAAGCATGTATAGTAACAAAAGACTATGCTTAGCAGGTAGATACAGATTACAAAGACACATTCTTCCTAGTGATTGTAATTGCTTCACTTTGCCTAAATTTAACATTGACACATCTAGATCTTGAATTCTTTTAGGTGGGGCCTTAAGATAGTAATTTTCAAATTTGTATTGAATAAGAAAAAACTGCATGGATCGTCGTTGGCTTTGTGACCAACGTACATAAGCCCACATTTTGAAATCTAAACTATCTTTTCTTATGGTTGAATGTATAAACATGGCAATAGAATCACATGCTTCATAAAATCAATATATTTACAAGTGTCTACATGATGTAAATAAATCATTGCAAGTATTTTAAATGACTTAATATTCAAAGTATTATGACATTATCATTATCATTATCACTATACATTGATAGCATTCTAATGTTTGAAATGAAATGGCAAGACAATTTTTATAAAGGATTTTTTATTCACTATAGTTAAAATGGCTAATATGGTTGAGATTAGTTTTGTATTTGGAATAAGACTGACTTAAACTAAAACAAAAAGGCTCTTATGTTGATCAAAAGGGGCTTACATCAAAATAGCTCTAGAGCAATTTAGAATGCAAATTTCCAATTTTATAAATACTTTAAAGAGTACATGATAAACATTAATTTGAATAAAATACTTACTGAATTTCTTAAGCTACTTTTATAAATGTGATTGGATGTTGAATGCATGTTTGGATACATACTCAATTTGGTATTATGTTTGTAGTAGGACGGGTCAATGATTATCAAAGTGTTCCAAGCATAAATTATTGGCAAAATGTGAAGAGAGTTATTGATATATTAAAATTACTATCAACCTAACTTAATTCGCACTATAATGTTGAAAATTTGAAATTGGTTGGCCATGTTGATGTTGCTTGAGTGGGAGAATATGATGAGCACAAATCCACTTATGAATATGCTACTTTGAGCCACATCATTAAGTGTATACATAGTGTATACATTGTCTTATAAGTTTAACATGTTATTTTAGGATCATAATTTGTTTGGCCTTATGCAACTTGTTTAAGAAAGTCATCAAACCAAAATGAATTGTTAAAATAAGATATGAAAATTAAATACCATATACATTAATGTTATATGACTCATAGCTCCAAAAATAATAGAAAGTTTTATTATTTGTGGTCATAATAAATGCATAACATAAAATAATGAAGCATTTTATAAGGTACATATTTGTGCAGGATAACAATACAGACTATACATTTATTGACTCGTTAATTGTAATTTTTATATTTAATATTAATATTTTAAGAGTGGTGTATTGTGCTAGTTTGATGTTAGCATAGAATAAGTGAGAAATATTATTTTTGTTCTCATTTGTTGCATGCTCTACTCATGATAAAAGTGCAAAATGTTTGTGGTAACGCGTGTATTTGAATGGGAGACATTGGAGAAATATGAATATACAATTTTCAATTTTAAATATTTAAGTTGTATTTGCATAAATATGACACAACATTCTTATGTATTTGTATATTTAACAGCTAAGTTTTCATTTTTATTTATATATTTAAAACCTCAATCATATTAAAACTTATGCTCAAAATGTGTTTCATTATATGTTTCATTATAAAAAAATTAGTTTTTTTTTTTTTTTGGGAAATAACTCAAAATTTTGAGTGTTATATATGTAAATATTAATATTTAGGTGTCATATTTAAAAACATATAAGAATTATATAATACATTTGCACGTAAGTTCATCTTAAATTTAAATTTCATTCACATGAATAATGATTAATTAGTTAGTTCAATATATTGTAAACAAATTTGTAAATGAATTTTTTGTACATAAATAAGGTTTTCTTCGCATATTTGAAGCATAAAACTTGTAAGAAATTTTATTCAACTCTCTTAGGGTGCTTTTGGGGTAGTGGTGTGATGGTAGTGAGTTGTTGCAAGCAACGTTTTGCCACCAGTCTTGGTTACGTACAGTGACTGCTAGAAAGCTATGGTTTGACTTTCTGAAAAAAAAAATTGTAATAGTCACAACAAGTTTTTAAACCACAACTTCTTCTGTAGTAGATTCATAGTTGTTTCTTCAAACAACTATAACTACTCCAAATAGACCTTAAGTTTGCTTAAGTTGTGTGGTCTAAATTGTTTATTAACATTAAATTTGGTTATTTTAACATCAAAAATTACAGCATAACATTATTATTATTGTGAAATGAGAGAGCTCGTCATGTTGCGTTCAAACTGAAACAGTAAGCTTGTTCTTCAACTTCAAAAGCACTGTTCATGATCTCACTCTAAAAAGCTCTTAATCCAAAACGTTTCTCATTAATTTCTATCTTCATAGCACCAAACTCAGCTGAAGACGAGGAGAAACTTGCTCCAAAGTCTTCGGAGAAAGCAGGTTCATCTTCCTTCTATTTCCAATGGCCAGTGTCAGCTCAAGGTTGTTCTCCTCTTCAGTAAAGCCATCATATGGTTCATGCTCAACAGTCTCATTACCTGCATTCCATTTCCCTATCTTGCTTCGCAGACTGGACGATACCCGCCGCATTGTAAGGTCTGCTTTAACATCATTCATCAATTTCTTCTGAATTCCATAAAGCCTATGCAGTTCGTGGACCTGTACCATATTTGTTCAGAAGCAAATAATCCGCACTTCCTAATAAGGCGGAGGTTTGTGAATTACCAGTTGGTAGCCTACCTGGTTTCTAAAGGTTTCCTCGTGCTCTAAAATTGTCGTCTTTATGTATTCTCTGTCACATTGCTCACAGAAGTGCCCCATGCTTCTTCTTCAACTGGATAGAGAACTGACAATTATTATTTACCTTTATTGCCTGCTGATTGATTATTGCTTGCATAAAGATCAGGTGATATCAGATTTGCAAATACCTAAAGTACACATCATCAGATTAGAATTAAACTCTTGGTGTTCTTTTTAAAAAGTCTGTTGCAGTGATGTTTTTGCGGCAAAAAAAGAAGTAGAAGAAAACAGTCTGCCAATTCAGTAAAGCAAAAGAAAATTCCTTTGCCAATGCCATAAATTGACGTCTGTAAGCTCATACAGAACATAGAACCCAGTCTGCCAATTCAGTAAAGCAAAAGAAAATTCCTTTGCCGCATAAATTGACATCTGCAAGCTCATACAGAACATAGAACCCAGTCAAGCTGATATTTCAAAGAAGAAACTTTAAAGGCCAATAGGCCAATTCACTCCCTGAAACAATGGAGATATCATAGCAATAAGAATCTATAGAAGGAATTATAAGATGGATTACCTTCTTCTCAGTTCCTTGTTCTTCGAGCACAGCTTAGTTGAAGAGGAATAATGGCCAAACCCATTTATTGACAATCCATAGAAGATGGGGAGGGGAACTTAAGATTCTTTCTTCCAATCTATGTCTCATAAGAGGAATATAATTGTGGACTCAAGCCAAACAAATTCAGTCTCTTGGCCTCTTATGTAGCTTAAGATGGGAAGGGAAGGGGAAAGATGCTCATATACAATGTCAGCAGAGGTTTAGATTTTTCCTTCTGTTATGAAATTAGAGAATTTCTTAAGCTTTTATTCAATAATTTATTATTATTATTGAATTATCAGTGGTTTCACACAGCATAGGTAAGAGCTCTTAAGAAAGAAGACTGGCCAGACGAAGTTGTTTAGCTGAACATGCTGACTCAACTTATATTTGTTGTAAAATTCGAACTAATCATAAAATTATATACTTTTAATACTCCTCAAATAATTCATGAACTATGAAGAAAATGATTTACATATCATTATGTATATATTATAATATCTTTTAATGTAGTAAGAATTAATGAAATTAATTATAATGATTTATTATTAGTATGTGTGATATGCCACCAGGAAATCCATCAATTAGGAATAAAGTTTGATGTGGGAAATTTTTCAAAATGAATTTAAAATCATTCAACTCATGATTTAACAAAGTTTTTTGTATGCCCAAAAGTGATTGGGTTGGTCTAAGATGAGGAGTCAACTGATTCGTCAAGTTCATACAGCAGATCGATCATACTAACTCGATCAATTACCTTACTGTACACTCTCAAAATCAAATAATAAGAAGTGATTAAAGTGATGTAGTGATGTGTGAAAAGATTGCATGAATTTATTTATATTTTGTACACTTTTTGAATGAAAATGCACTTTAAAAAATGTATTTTTATGTTTTTCTTGCAGGTATAACATATATTAGGAGTAGAACAAAGTGGAAGAAACATGGAGCAAAAAAGTGAAAATTTTAATAAAAAATACTTTGTGAAGGCTGGGGTCATGGCGTCAAGAACTGGGCGCCTAGACACCAGCCAAGCCTGAAACCCAAGAGATTGGTGCCAGGGCGCCAACTACTGGGCACCAAGGCCTCAATTCTGAAGGCCAAGGCCATGGCTCCAGATTAGTGTGGCTCCTAGACGTCAGTCAAGCAGAAGACAACCCGAGAGGTTGGCGCCAAGGCCTCAGTCTTGAAGATCAAGGCCATGGCGCCAGAATAAAGTGACGCCTAAGCGCCATGACCAAATTCTGGATGATTTCGAGAGGGTTCGGAGCAGTTTTAGAGTTGTTTCATGGCAGTTTTAAGAGCAATTATGAGAGAATTTTGGGGGGAGATGAAGAGTTCGTGAAGAAAAGAGGGGAGAAATGAAAAGGAAAAAGTGTATATTCTAGGGTTAGAGAGTTTTGGAGGGATTTACCTCCTGTGTTTGTAAGTGTCCTAGGCTTGTTTTAAGCAAGTCTAGGGCGTGAGTTGTGTTGTTATGTAAGTGTTGTTCTATAAAGAGTTGCAGAAGACGAACAAGGGCTCTGGTAGAGCAATCTCGAGGCAAATTGAGGGAGAGAGATAAGTATATTGTAATTTGGAATTGTAGTTTTTCTAAAACACATTTGTATGTTAAATTTTTTTATTTAGTAGATGTGTAGAAATGTGGAAAGCATGCATGAAATAGTTTTTATCTATAATTGTGATGATATCCTTCTGCATTTTGTTTAATTTTCAATCTAGTCAATTGATCTGTTAAAATGTGTTGTGAACCCGTAAGGACCTGAAGGAGCTACAACATGTACAACTAGGAAAATCATGTTGAACTATAGGGTATGAATTAAAGTACAGTGTAGCAATATGCAATTAAATAAGGAGATAAACTTCATTGGGTTCAAAGTGGGACTTAAGGAATTAAGGTTGCTTTAACCAAGCCTCTTTATACGCTCGGAAGAGGATAAAGAGGATTTATGCTTTGTCACAAACTTTACCTTATTTCACACTTCTTCCACATCTACATTATACTATTACCACTGCAAGGAAATGTAACCATAGCACTTGACAGAACCAATTCACATATCATTGTTAGAAATTTTGTAGGTGTAACTTTAGATAATTGTAGTAGGTTTGTTAGCAAACTTAAGTATTTCAATATTCCAAACTAAGAACGAATTAAATATACTAGAACATTTTCCTACTTTGGCTTCTCATTGTTTCCTGTGGGTTCGGCATTCTGGACTCTTTAAAGTCTTATATTACTGAAACGATATGTAACTTGTGTAAGAAACCTCAATGTGTAGGAAAATCTGAGTTTAAGAATTCAATTAAGTTGCTAGGGAGCAGATCATGTTTTCTGGTGTCATTGTCGGAATTTACATTATTGTGATAACCGCTAAGGTAGAACTTGTAGTTATTTTCTCAGAGAAATACACCCTATAGTCTGGATATGGTTTAATATTATGCTCTCCCTCACCCAATTGAACAAACTGGGCTACAACACTGATTTGGTTCACGAAGATATCATTGAGGACCATTTGTTGGAAGCACTACGAGAGCAGAAGCATTCTTGAAGAAATAAATAATTAGGGGAGTGCGTTATCAAATGAGTATTATAATATATATGCCCTAGAAAAAAAATGAAGTTAGAAAGAATAGTTCTTGATATTCATGTGTGATAATGACATTTTTTATAGCATATAAATCAATTAATATATATGTACAACAACAAAAAAAGTATTGATTCGTGGATCCGACAGTTCAGAATAAGGTACATGCCAAAAGATGAATATCAAACAATGTAGGGACACTCAAAGCAAGTTGAATGATAGTGGTCGATCGATCTGAGGCAGATCGAGCAGGCGACCCATCAGAAGTTAATAATTAAAAGAAGATTGACCAAAGGCCAACAAGATAACAACCAGCCAAAGACCAATTAATTGGCAGTAAACCTACCTAAAATCGACTGATCAAAAGTAGATCTACTAAAGAGGATAAGAGATGCCTATCATTTCAGGAGAGAGAGAGAGAGAGAGAGAGAGAGAGAGAGAGAGAGATTTATAAAAATGTATATATATCAATGTTGATGGTAAAATATTCTCATGAGAGAGAGAAAGAGAGAGAGAGAGAGAGAGAGAGGGAGAGAGATTTTTAAAAATGTATATATATCAGTATTGATGGTAAAATATTATCATGTGACTTAGGAAGAAGGTTCTCAGCTTATTTTAATAATAGTCATGCAAGCAAAATCTAAGATATGAGTATTTTAACATGATCTGATGCTGTATATGTATATGATCGTCGCATGCACGTTGTATTACACAGACGAAACAATCAGCACCAAGCATGATCGAATGATGTGACACAGCATCCAATGATAAATCCGCGCCTGCATTATGCACCACAATCAATCATTGTTAATTAATTAGCGGCCACAATTTGTTAAAGAATTATTTCAGATATTTCTATTTATAAATTTGCATAAAATTTTCATTCTTAACTGCCATAATTGGATGCTAGAGAGACATAATTGCCTGATGCCATTGCAGTTGGTGGCCCTGCTGCCATTTCAGAAGGAACGCCTCACCTCATTACCGGGATCCTGGCATTACTTTTCATGAATTCATGATCATGATACTGATATAAATTTGCATTAAGATTTTCTGATAGCTGGAGAAGATGGGGACTTCTTTTGTTCTATTTTTATCAATTGTATGATTAGGAAATCTCAAAATTTGTTTGCACAAATTATTAAATAATATTGTGGAATATGAAGCTCCCAGCCAATGGGTCATGGGTTTCAAAGCTATCCAAAGATTCTTACAACTTATGATGAACCATGGTGGAACCAAGAATGGCTGGGGAAGCACTCCTCAGCTATAATTTTTTGATGTACTCTTTAATACTTTAAAATACACTAAAAAAAATTAGCTCACTAATCTTAAATACTTAATAATAATTATATTTTTAGTTTAATAATCATGTTTATATTAGTTTCTTTTTTTACAAAAAAAAGGGAAATTTAAAATTTAAATGAACTCAACCACTTGATTTTAATTTTGTCTGGAAACTTGGCAACATCATCAAATGCTTATCGACTTGATTGAAAAGCCTAGCTGCTTCAGTCATTAAGCGGACTTACTAATCTTTCGATGATTTAGATCCGGATATGTAGTCATTTTAATAAGAATGTTTCATATGTTTTTACAACAAAGGACCAATAGGTATTGCTATGTAATTTCCTTTTTTATTATTCCTGAATATGTAGAATTTCCTGTAGAAACTTAGCTCTGATCCAAATCTTTAAATATGGGGATTACGTGAAAATGCCAGGGTTCTCAGTCGCTTTTATTTAGGCTCCGTTTGGGGGCGTTTGGGGGCGATCATTTGTGTGGGTGGTGCTTTGAAAGTGATTGGGGTATAGTTGTCACAGAGGCGTTCTAGCGCGATGCGGTTTCTTCCGTTAGGCGGACATTCCGACATATTTAACTGTCGAAAGTGATCGGGGTCGATAGTTTCCCAGGAGGACGGTGCAACTGAGGACAGACGTCGTCAGAGTTTTAAATTGAATATTTTAATATTTTTAATTGTAGTTGTAATTATGTTTCTCTTTATTTTATTTCTTTTGATACTCATGAGAAATTGAGAACTCTATGTTATTTTTTTGAACTGGTTTGTAATGGTTTGTGGCTTCTGCTGTATCTATTCTTTTGTGCATGTAGTTTTGTTGCAAAAAACATTTTTGAACAAAAGCAGAATGGACATTTATCCATCAACAACTACAAATAATCGGTTATGAATAAGTTGTTCCAATTCTCCAAACAACAAGTCAGCTTATCATAATAATCTACAGATTATCAGAATAATTTGCTTATAAGCAAATTATAAATAATCTGCAGCTGCCCCAAACAGACCCTTAATCTCATGATATTGAGATTATAGAGCTTTTCATTCTAGATTATTAACTCTTTTTCCCTCTCACTCACTTTCATCCCCATTTCTCTTTCTTTTTTATGCTAGTAATATTCCGATATAGTAAGTAAATAATTTTGGTTCTAATATTTTAAAGGTGC